TTATACAAGTTCTTAGTTACCACTAAAGAAGAAATTTGAAGAAATTCAAAGCCGAAGTTGAAGGGAAAGAAATAATAATAATTACTCAGTCGGCTTCAAAATGAAAATGTTTCCTCTCTCTTGCGCCGTCTCCGTGAATACAAACTGAAGACTTGGCTGTATGGCGAATGCCTTTGCCTTTTCCTGCAAGAGGAAAGAACGAAACCAAAAAAAAAAAAAAAAAGAAAAAACAATGTCAAACATGACGTTTCACTTTCCCGCCAAAAGTTAAAAAAAAATGGATGCGCTCTCAAATCGATGTACCTATTAATAGCGGGCTCAATATTGATAAATCTTACCTCAAACCGCTGTATAGCAGGCTGGTCGTGTCTCGCCACGCCGTGGCTTTTTGTCAGGTGCTGTCGTGTCGCGCTGCTGCTTTTGAAAACATCCTCGCATACTGGACAGAGGTAGCGGAGGCGTTTTTCTTTGTGCACCTGTTGATAGATAGATAAGTAGGTCATAATAATCATTATCATCATGATCATTTACTCCCGTATTCACAAACATTACTATGAAGTCTCACAGTGCGCGTGGAAGCGCAGGGTGACACACGAACTAATAACTAAGCTCTATTCAACGCTGTGCGTTCGAGTTGCTGCTTCACTTAAGCAAGCATCGTTTGTGAATACGGGCGTTAGAATAAGCCTTATTATTTACCTTATGGTAGTGGTGTTGAAGCAGCCGTTTGGATTTCTCGCGTTTTTGGCAGATGTTGCACTGTGGAAGTTATTATGAATGATAATTAACTGCAATCAAATGTTAGAGCGATTTCATCAAGTTTTCTAGAAAAATTTAGATTAAAAAAAAAACCTAAATTTAAAAAGTCTTTCGATTATTTTAACTAAGTTACGCGCATTTGAGCAATAGGCTACATGACAAAATTTCAATAGGGATGTTTCCTGGGTCAAAAAGCAAGAGTTTTAATTAGTCCGTCAGTTAACTTATCAAAAAATACTCTACACGTATTTTTCACTTTTTCAAACTAATGAAAATTTAAAGAGATAAAGCGCGCCAAAGTTCATAAGAAGAGGCCCGTGACGTCAATGCGTGCATAAAAGTGCCGCACGTTGTGACGTCGTGCGGAACTTCAACGCACCATAACTATGTAATTAGTTGTTAGATTGACAAATAAAAATATATGTGTCCAATATTTTTTGATATTAAACATGACGGACTAAAAAAATTTTTTTAGGAAACTAGCTTATTATTTGTCCGTCAGACAGATAATTGGAAAATATTATATAGTTCCAAAATACTGGACTGTCCTGTCGATGACATTGACAGTGGGGCGCCACCGTCAATACCGAATCGCTGGTTCAGATTTTTGCCATGTTGCAAACCATATAGTTGAACGATAGTAGCGCCCCCCTGTCATTGAGTTTGGTGGGACAGTTCAGCGTGGGTCATCTATACTCATATATTTTATTTTCTTACATAATTAAATAATCGAGTCGAGTTGAAATGGCGCGATACGTCACGCTTGAGTAGAATTTTTACTCAAAAGTGACGTCGCGCGACATTTCAACTCAATATAACACTGTAATTATTCGATTATGAAAAAAAAAATAGGAGTCTAATATTTTCTAATTATCTGTCTGATGGACTAAATAGAATTTCGATTTCATTACCTAGTCATCATCCCTATTTCAATTTAGCGGACATAAATGAGAGGAGTAGGTTAAAAATGATTTTCACGTACGAAAACGCGGGCGCAGATAGTAAAGCAACAAATATTCACCTCATAGTTGCTCTCCGGCAAATGTATCGGCAGATGCTGCACGAGCCCCGCTCGCGAGTGGAAGCTCGCGCCGCAATGTTCACAGACGAATTCGCGCTCGCCCGTGTGCCGGCGCTCGTGAACCTACGATAGTAAGTAATTCCAAAATAATATAAGAAAATCATCCATTGCACTGCCAGGACGTAAAACACTGCCAATTGCGTAAAAAAAAGCAAAAAAAATTTCTTTTTTAAAAACAAGCTTTTATTCTGAAATGCTAGTACGGTCTACTAAAACGAAAAAATAATTGTATGCAAGGTTCAAATAATTTCGAAAGCTTGTATCGCGCATGGAATTTATTCCTCTTTTTTTCTGTTTGCGCTACAAGCTTTCGAAATTATTTGAACCTTGCATACAATTTTTAGTTTTTTAGTTGTAACTCAATCTTAAGGCCCTGCATGGTCATCATTTAGCACCAAAGTGCTCCAAGACGAATCTAATGAACCCAAACTCGATAACTTTCTGCCGTTTCGTTTAGGAGTTCCTTCCTATGCCACCTCCTGACTCCATCATCAGACCGGCTCAATGGTACCATAACATTGCAGTGTCATCGTACTTAACATATAAATACCTATACCAAATTTCAGCTCAATCGGTTGAGGAGAACTGGTCTGAAATTCAGTTGTAAGATTTGTCCCACACACATACTAACAAGTGAAGTCAATATAAAGCTGGAAAAAAAGGGAAAGAAAAATGAAACAGTACTAGCGACTATCCCCGACTTCGTCTGGGATAGTAAGCACTATTTTTAATCGTCCATGCAATGCTAAATAAAGGAATTTTGACTTTGACTTAGGTTTTCTGTCCTGGCTTTTAACATTCCCCGTCAAGATTACAGCTAATACAAATAGAAATTAGAAGTGGAAGATTTAATGAAAAATACTTTTTTTTAACTAGAATTACTCACCACCAGTCCAGCTTTGGTGGCTGAACTGTAATCGCAGTAGGAACAGTTGTGTATCCTGGCTAGACCGTGAATAGCTCGCTTGTGTTCCAGCAGGATCGTATTGCTGAAGCAACGCTTGCCGCATTCCTGAAGAAAACATATTATTTACCTCTTCGCCCGCGTGAATTCCAGATTCTCACAAAGTCATGATTTGACATAATAATCTCATGGTTAATTACATGGTTTAATATAGAAATAAACCCTAGTGTAATATACCAAACTAGCGGCCGCCCGCGACTTCGTACGCGTGGATCCCGTTTTACCCCCGGAGTGGTTTCGTAAAATCCTTCCTTAGCGGATACCACAGAGCAAAGTAATACATGGCGGATACCTACGTCATAACATCTACCTGCATGCCAAATGGCAATGCCAGATTTAGTATGGAAGGTGGCGTCTTTTTTTTTTCGCGCGGCCATCGACCAAACTTTGTTTTTTGATTACAAAATAGTGTAATAAACCAAACTTATTATGACATGTATACCTTTTAACTCAGTCTGAACTGAGTTACGAGCTTTAGAAGTTTGATGATTTTACATACTAGATTTGCTTTTTGCGCGCAAGTTTTGTAAGAAATTAGTACTATCGCATTTTTTGCACTCACTAGGATGGCGCCACTAAAGAGTAAACATAATATCAAAAACTATACTCCATGGTACTCAATATTGAATTTTTTTTGGCATAAATATCACTAATGATTTTTTTTTGGACAGACGGCTTTTGTCATCTTCACTGGGCAATAGGTAAGCGCAGAATCAGATGGCTCTCAATCTAAATATTAACATTTTAACATACCTCACAAATACAATAGCTGTTGTGTGATCGCATGTGTGCTTTGAACGTCACTTTCCTATTGTACTCCTTGTCGCACACATTGCATTTGTAGACCTTGCCTGGTTTGTCACCGGACAAACTCCTGGAGCGTTGAATCTATAATTCAATAACATTGGTTTCATCACCATCAGGTCCATCGACCCTCTCTAATTTAGGGGCCANAAGATCCATATTATTCTCAATCTCTAAATACTCATGACTGATGTTTTCATCAATATACTCAACATTCTGGTCCACAACAATATTTTCATCGTCCATATTATTATTAAATGATGCCTCTACAACATCACCATCTAAGATTTCGTATTCCACAAAATATTCTGCGTCATCGTTGTCCGCTTCAAAGATTTGTGGATTTTGGAATATTTTACGTAGTTTTTGGTCAGTTTTTACACTTTTAATCCTGAATTGTAGCGCCAAATTAAATGTATCTATGCATTTTGTACACATCTTTTGAGATAGACCATCATTTAGTTTAATCTGTAAATAAACGACAATTATTTTTCAGCTTACATAACAAATGTATATTGATTAAATTATGTACAGAACACGGCATAACAAGTTATACATTGGGTTATGACGTACCATCGCCATCTATTCTACACACAACGCCATCTATTGGTGTAAAATTGAATTAAAGTTACCTCCAAACCTGTCACTTCTTTCAAATCTTCTGACCGCTTTTTCGCGGTGTCTTCTGTGTAGAAAATGTCCATCAAGTTTTTATTTATTAAACAGGTTCTACAGTAATCCGATACTTGTTCAAAAACATCGTTTTTTTCCTCGTTTTGCGCAGGTCTTGCCTGTTTTTTACGTAAGCTCTGCCTGCGAGAGCGCATCTTACGATTTAACATTAAAACAGCGAGCATTTTATGAAGAATACGATGAAATGATATGCAGACAATTTAAAACTTAAAAGACTATGATAAATTACAGAGATTTTAGTAATTAATTAGATTTTCCAAGCCGCAAAAAAGCAAAATATTTTGGTGCAAAAATTGACATACGCAATTTTTTCAGCAATCTTATTTTACCGACTGTCACGTTAATTGCGTTTTGTTATCGTGATTGATTACTTTAAGTTGAAGCGGTAAAATATGTTTTGCGTGAAGAAACAAAACGGATTATTGTCAACAAAAAAGTGTTTTGTTGTGAGCCGAATTCTTAAATCTTTTTTTCTCATTAAAATTCATGTTTTTAACAAAATTATCATTCGGAATTAGTGAATAGACGTATAAAATTAATATACTTACTGAATAAACGGCACAAATGTATCCATGGACGTGTTGTAGGACTTGTTTAGGCTCAGAAAGTTTAAATCCAATTTTTCCTGAGTTTGGTAAAAAACACAAATATTCGGAGGCTGTGTTCGCTGCTACTGGTTTGATGGTAAGTTCTTACTGGTGTCTAGATTTGCTATCTGGTATATCCTAAGAAAACTTATGAAATAGGCTGCTTTTCGTAAACATTGATTTCTTTTCTTGTCTGCTGCCCAACTAAGACTAAGCACTGTGATTTAAGTATCAATATTGCTCCTAAGCCTACCCTTTGGCCGTCCCTTCATCAACATCATCATTTCGGTGAACATTGGCCACTGTCTGCCAGTTGAAATAATAATAATGATATAGGTAATTATCATAATCAATTTTTACCCATTATTAATTTCAGGTGGATCCCAACGACTACCTACCTCAGCAAATGTGTTCAGCATGCATCGCCTTCATAAACGAATCAAAAGAGTTCCGTAAAAAAGCAATAGAATCCCACAAAGAGCTCCTCAAACGTCTGCAAAGCTGTTCCAATGACAGTAAATTGGTTTTGGAGTACGAACCAGAAAAAAAGCCATTGAAAATAGAAATCGAAAGTAATAATCCGATCAATATTAATGATGACTGGAATGATAAGTTTTCAGATGACGACGATATTCCATTGGACCATTTTAAGTCTGTCAAAAAGTTTGAAGCCGATTCATCTGACGATCACAAACAAATCCCTGATAAACCTAATGGAGAAAATAATTTGAATTCCACACAAGATTCTGTATTAAACGCCCCAGATAATGTAAATATAGGGAACAAAATTGACGAAACTACAGAAAAAAAGACGGTTAAAAGAAAACCCAGAAGAAAAAAGACAGATAAAGAAGACAAAAGTACAGTCAAGAAGGAAAGAGTGAAAGAAAGAATAGAGTGTGAATACTGCCATAAGATATTAACGTCTAAATTGTCGGTTAGAAACCATTATAAGATACACACTGGTTTTGATGTAGTGTGCGAGGTAAGCTTTAATTTTAAGCAACTAAGGCTGGGTTGCACCATCTTATTTTGACTTTAAGAAACGTCAAAAATCTGTCAAAATCCATACTAAAAGCGCCGGTTATCGTTAAAGTTTCGGTCAAAGTTAGGTGGTGCAACTCAGCCTTAAATCTCTAAAAAATAGCAGAAGTAAATTTGTTTCAGCCAAATGACGTCCACTGCTGGACAAATACCTAAGGATTTCCACAACGATCTTCGCCGCGTCCAGGCACCTCCCGCGACCTTTTCCAGATCGTCGGTCCACCTAGTGGGCCTACCCACTACGTCTTCCGTCCCGTGGTCGCCACTTAAGAACTTTCTGCCCCAGCAGCCTGCATTTTATTTATTTAAAAACTTAATTGCATTTTGCATTGTGCAAACACAAAAAAACTTAAGCGGTACAAAAAGGCGAACTTAATGCCATGTGGCATTCTCTACCAGCTGACCTTGAGCAAAACAGAGAATTTAAATAGGCGGTGCTAAATCTTATGGGCTGGTTTCCCAGTCGTCGTTGTTGTAGTCCAGGATGGTACATATCTGCCCTGTAAGTGCCTATTCACTCTCGCCTTGAAAAGGCCCGGATTATAGTGTTTAGGAAAGACATCAGCAGGCAGCGAATACCAGTCCCTAGCTGTTCGCATTATAAAAGAGTCATTGAAACACTTAGTGCGAGCTGGTGGAATGTTGACATTGTTAAAATAGTAAGACACAGGTCTTAACGCGACGTATATTAATGAGTTACATTATGTACTCACGGCTTGACGTTTCGGCTGCTATGATCAATGAACTACATGAATGAAATACATGATGTAACTCATTAATAAACGTCGCGTTAAGACCCGTGTCTTACTATTTTAGTTGAAATGAAACGCGAAAGTTTAGAATCTTACAGTACCTAGCTGTTCGCATTATAAAAGAGTCATCGAAACGCTTAGTGCGGGCTGGTGGAATGTTGATATTTTTGATGATTATTATTGTTTTTCAGCACTGCGGCAAGAAGTTCATAACTCGTCGTCTGCTGCTGATGCACTGTCGAGCCAAACACGGCTATGAGAAGGTTGACAAGTGCTCGTACTGTGACTATAGGGGCTCCAACGCGGAGCAAGTCAAGGTGTGTGGTCTTTTTGTATGCTGAACGATATTCACGATATTGCAAATATCTTAGGTAATTTTAGAGGTTTTTGAAATAGAAATGCACATTTCGAAAAATCCAGAAGTTTTCTCGGTAATTTGACCCATTTTAATTTCAACTTTAACAACTGCTACTTAGGAATTCATCTATAGTAACGACTTGAAATCGTTAATTTCAGGAACCACTGATCTGAGGTGGAATTGTGTAAAGCAATCGTAATCATTTTAAGTTCATAACGTACGATAGTCAGATAAACAAAGCGTTTGACAGAATAATCGTACGTTATGTACTGTCAAATGATTACGATTGCTTTACACAATTCCACCTCTGAATTGAAAAATTATTTTTGTGTCAGATAGCTCATTTATTTAAGCTATTTAACATCACCGTACAACCAAGCAGTAAAGAAAAGTGTTGCAAAAACGGGAAATATTATTCAAACTATTTTCACGCGTACGAAGTCGCGGGCACAGCTAGTTTTTCATAGATTGTAAAAAACCGATAATAACCAAAGACATGCCGTTTCAAGATACACGAGCGTCTTCACACTGGCGAGAAACCGTACAAGTGCGGGGAGTGCGACGACGCGTTCCACAGAAAGAGCAGCTACTTGCAACACATCGCTACGCACTTGACGGAGAAAACCGTGCAGGTGAGAACTGAGAACAATGCAATGCCAGATTTTGTATGAAAGGTGGCGTCTTTTTTTTTTCGCGCGGCCATTGACCAAGCTTTGTTTTTTGATTACAAAATAGTGTAATAAACCAAACTTACTATGTCATGTATACCTCTAAACTCAGTCTGAATTACTGAGTTACGAGCGTTAGAAGTTTGATGATTTACATACTAGATTTGCTTTTTGCGCGCAAGTTTTGTAAGAAATTGCAACAAAATATTGCGCTATTTTTTAATGCGCTGATTCTACTCCACACTGATGTCTGGAGCCTTTAATGGATGGTATTGTTTGTTTACACATACAATGTCACTATTTTGTTGCAATTTCATACAAAACTTGCGCGCAAAAAGCAAATCTAGTATGTAAATCATCAAACTTCTAATGCTCGTAACTCAGTTCAGACTGAGTTTAAAGGTATACATGTCATAGTAAGTTTGGTTTATTACACTATTTTATATCCAAAAAACATGGTTTGGTCGATGGCCGCGCGAAAAAAAAAGACGCCAATTTCCGGCATTGTCTTTTAGTAAGAATACATCAACACATTGTGGAAAACCTTGGGGGAGGCCTTTGTCCAGCAGTGGACGTCATTTGGCTGAAACAACAACAACAACAACATCAACACAATCTGTATTAATTTTAACCGCCTCTGACCACCTGCTTCAGACGCAGAGGTCCCGGGTTCGATTCCCAGTGGGGGCAGATTTTTCTGTTCGGTTTGGTTGGTGCTAGGGCTTGTTCTAAGTCCACCTGGCTAGCTACGACCATCTTACCTAAGTGTCGCCATAACAACAATGTTAACAGCATTATTGTGTTTCGGAACTTGGGGTCATTGGAAGAATTTTGTCCAATGACCCCAAGCTACCCTACCCATCCTTATCGCTCGCGCGTAATTATATTGCTGTCGCGACTGTGCGACGGGCGCCCGCAGTGAGTGTGCGAGCGCGACAGCAACATTATTACGCGCGAGCGATAAGGATGGGTAGCTTGGGGTCATTGGGCGAAATTCTACGTGCTCGCAGACCAGACTATAGTCTATAATAATTTCTTTTCCAGTGCACCGAATGCCCCTCCCGCTTCAAATCGGTTACTTTAATGCGCATCCACCGCGCTCGTCATAAGCCTTCCCAACACGCCTTCCGCTGCGAGTTGTGCGGTAAGAGCTTCGCGCGTCGCCGCAACGCAGCGCGCCACGTATATAGGGCACACCGCGCCCAGGGACACGTCGCGAGGTACAAGAATAATTACGGAATCTCTACTTAAAGGTTGGTTGAGTTACAGAGAAAATATTGTCACTTTTTGAGCCATAGGGTCGGTTTGTTGCGCCTTAAGGTCATTATGATGCAATTTAGACACTTGATTGCGTCATTTTGTGTCTTTGTCGCGTCATATGGTCACTTTGTCGCGTCACATAGTCACTTTGTCGCGTCATATGGGTCACTTTTGCGTCAATGTGTCACTTTTTGTGTCATATGGTCACCTTAATGCGTCTTGTGGTCACTTTATGTGCCCTATGGTCACTTTTTGTGTCATATGGTCACTTTTTCACACACTTCGTCACACAGCCATCATTAGTCACTTTTCCGCGTCACACTATCATCATTAGACACTCATTTAGACACTTACACGGTCATGGCCTCCAAAAGATATTTGGTTCCTCATATTTGACTAAAAAGTCCACATCAAATGCCTTAGTACTTGCATTCTCGCCCCTCTGCCGCTTCAAATCGGTCACTTTAATGCGCATCCACCGCGCTCGGCACAAACCGTCATCGCACGCCTTCCGCTGCGAGTTGTGCGGTAAGAGCTTCGCGCGTCGCCGCAACGCAGCGCGCCACGTGTATAGGGCACACCGCGCCCAGGGACACGTCGCGAGGTACAAGAACAATACAGGGATCTCTACGTAAAGGTTGGTTGAGTTACAGAGAAAATATTGTCACTATTTGAGCCATAGGGTCGGTTTGTTGCGATTTAAGGTCATTGTGAAGTCATTTAGACACTTAATTGCGTCGTTTTGTGACTTTGTCGCGTCATATGGTCACTTTTTCGTCATTTTGTGACTTTGTCGTGTCATAATATGGTCACTTTTGTGTCATCTGGTCACTTTACCGCGTCATATGGTCACTTTTTGTGTCTTATGGTAAATGGGTATGTTGCCTGGGTCAAAAAGCAAGAGTTTTAATTAGTCCGTCAGTTAACTTATCAAAAAATACTCTACACGTATTTTTCACTTTTTCAAACTAATGAAAATTTAAAGAGATAAAGCGCCCCAAAGTTCATAAGAAGAGGCCCGTGACGTCAACGCTTGCTTAAAAATGCCGCACGTTGTGACGTCGTGCGCAACTTCAACGCACCATAACTATGTAATTATTTGTTAGATTGACAAATAAAAATATACGTGTCCAATATTTTTTGATATTAAACATTACGGACTAAAAAAATTTTTTTAGGCAACTAGCCTATTGTGTTGCGTCTTATGGTCACTTTATCGCGTCATACGGTCACTTTATCGCACACTTCGTCACACAGCCATCATTAGCCACTTTTAGTGCCGTATTGTCACTTTTTTGTGTCACACTGTCATCATTAGACACTCGGTCATCATTAGTCACTTTAAGCCATCCCGTCTGGCGCATGTCTTTAAGACACTACAATGCATCATAAATTACTTAGCTCAAGGCTATTTTGTCTAGGACGCGTCTATTAGACATTTTTATTCAGCATTAAAATGGTTGTGACGTCAGAAAGACACTTGGATCCTCATGATTTCTCTTCTGCATTATTTCTGCCGTCGCACTTAAGAGCACGTAAGAGTTTCGCGCGTCGCCGCAACGCAGCGCGTCACGTTTACAGAGCGCACCGCGCCCAGGGACACGTCGCGAGGTACAAGAACAATACAGGGATCTCTACATGAGCCCTGGCGGAGTGAAGAGGTAGATAGTCATTTTTTTGGATCTTATGGTCACTTTTTTGTGTCATATGGTCACTTTATCGCGTCATATGGTCACTTTTTGTGTCTTATGGTAAATTGTTTTGTGTCATATGGTCACTTTATCGCGTCATGTGGTCACTTTTTGTGTCATATGGTCACTTTGTTGCGTCTTAAGGTCATTATGATGCCATTTAGACACTTTATTCTTGACGCGTCACATGGACACTTTGTCGCGTCATAGGGTCACTATGTCGCGTCACATGGTCACTTTGTCGCGTCATATGGTCACTTTGTCGCGTCATGAAATTTAGTCGCGTCATATGGTCACTTTATAGCGGCACATAGTCACTTTGTACGTTGAATAGTCTTTGTTAGTCATTTTAGTCATACGGGTGATCGAACCTGTGTAGGAGACATCCAATTATTTTTATTTTATGGCCTCTTTTGAAACCATTAAGAATCGACCCCGTACATATATTTTTGTATTAAACATTGTGATAGTAAAAATTAAGAAATAGATGATATTATGATAAGTAGTTTTAAGTAATGTATGGTATTAATAATTCATATAACATAAAGTATTATTGTATGCAGTATTTGATAATGTATGCCTATTGTTTACCTATTTTAAGTCTTATTAATTTTTAAGGGTTTATTTAAAGGAAATAATGCGTTTCTACACTATTATACAGGATGTCGGTAGGTTTGACAAACTTAGTGGGAGTATAGGTGAGGTCATTTTGAGAATACAAATTCGCGCATTTGACCCTAAATGAGCTACTTTTTTAATTGTTTTTTACCTATATGTCCACGAAGTTTCGTACCAAACACCCTGTATATGACGGTAGTCATGAAATAAAAGACAAATCATTATTTTAACATATTTTATTTTAGGTCAATAAATGAAACTTAAACTATTTGATATATTTATTAACAAATAAATAGTGAATTTTATTTAACTATGTGTTTCATTCAAAAGGTGACACTTTTAATGTGTTTTATAAGCGAAATAAATAAATAAATACACAATATAATAATATTTATTGTGTATTTATTTATAATAACTCTAGAATAATGTGTTTATATATTTAGACTAAAAATTTACATTATTTATTTATTCACAAGTCTGTCAGGATAGTCGCAATTTCATTTTTTACCCAAATGCGTCAGAAGGAAGGCGATGTTTTTTGTAGTCAACAGTTGGAGACCCGAATTCAGAGCGTGGTGTGAGTCCCTTAGAGCATAATGGGTTCGATTCCCGTTAGGGTCAATACTTAATACATTTGCTGTAATACAAGTCAAGAGACCACCATTTAGCATGACAAGGGATCAAACACATTATCCTCTTTTCTGCAGTCGGTAAAATAAGGTGACAATTCTGACATACTAAAGCCCGGTCGCCGAGTACGTAGAATTTTGTCCAATGACCCCAAGCTACCCATCCTTATCGCTCGCGTGTAATCATGATGCTATCGCGCTCGCACACTCACTGCGGCCGCCCGTCGCACAGTCGCCACAGCAATATAAGGATAACGCGCAAACGATAAGGATGGGTAGCTTGGGGTCATTGGACGAAATTCTACGTGCTCGGCGACCGGATTATATCTAAAAACCGCATCACACCAAGAAATCTATTTTATAGGATACATACACATTTATACACAATTCTTCTAATATATTTAGGTCCTCTTGCCTTTAAGTTAATTTAGAATAAAGTACTGTTATTTAAGTGAAATTAAAACGTATCTTTTCAATAAAAGAGGACAAAGTTTATATATTTTTTTTTCAAAATTAATGATTTTATTTTTGGTATTACAACACTAGAGATTATAAAAACTTCATTTTCGGCAAAAAAAAATCAAACAACACAATAATAAGTAAAAAAACATCAACATATTGGACAGAATCGTATTTTTCAATAAATAGCAGTTTTTTTTTGTATCGGCTAACAACAACCGTAAAATATAGTCCAGTTTTAGAGTCGGTAAAATTAATGATAGTTTAGTTCCGATTTTGATTAAGAGATGGCGTTGTGCCGTTTTTCATCGCGGTATCGTTAAACTTCTGGGTAAATATTATAAGCGATTGGAAATATCAACCCTACTGAAATCTTCCTATTGGTCACAGGTGGACACTGGGAAGAAATAGTTTCTTTATCCTTCAGTGGTGGATATTGAAACAAAAAAGAAATATATTACATGGTGAGAACAGTCGCCCGACCAGCGAAAGGTCGTGGGTTCGATTCCCACCTTAGGCAATTCGATTTTTCAAGTTATTAAAAATTTTCTTCAAGATGCAACTTTTAATGTTTAAAATTTTTTAATTACTATGAAACAAGTAATGGTTTTATTTTTAGTTCAAACTTGGACTACATCCATTTTTTAAGATAAAAAACACGGGACTATTCCAACCGCTGAAACTCCTGTGTAGCCAGGATCTACAGCTTGACCGCCAATAAAAACCCAACCAGTGAAGGTCAAGTTTGTCCCGGGGGAAATTCAACTGTCATTAATAGTTATATAGGGTAAGAATTAAATAAATATAATGTCTTTCATAAAGAATACCTTATTGAAACAATATTACGTATTAAAATTGTGATTTCAAGGAACTAGAAGATAAATGTACACTTAACGGCACATCAGAAGTAACACATTGACTTTAGACCTTAATGCTTTCGAAATAAGAGTTAATTTTGCAGTGCAGTGCCACACTTGATATGCCGTTATGTAAAGTGTATAAACTCAAGAGAAATTTAAAGTGAAAATTGCATTATAACTACAGTAAATGAAATTGTGAGACAAATACCTTACTACGGGGTGAAAAACCGTGACAGTTAGCTAAATTTTGACATGAGCTGTCAATTTTGACGTTTACTTACCAAAAAGTACTAAAAGAAATATGTAGGTAGTATTAAAAAACCATAGATGCTTCAACCAAATGCAACATACTTGTAATAAAATGATTTTTTTATATAGCCTGGTCTGCGAGCACGTAGAATTTTGTCCAATGACCCCAAGCTACCCATCCTTATCGCTCGCGCGTAATTATGTTGCTGTCGCGCTCGCACACTCACTGCGGGCGCCCGTCGCAAGCGCACTCCTTCTTTTGCCCACAATAAATCGAGCGTTAGGAATAAATTTGAATCGAAATAAAATTGTCGCCGTTGTTCAGACATTTCGTTTGCGAATAAAAACAAATATCTCGACAACACAACCCCGAACACAACACTTCGCCGCTAAAGCGCCGCGAGAGCTGCCCGCTTGTTTCGAGAACGGGTCTGCGTTGCCCGCCCCGCTCCCGCGCCGCCGCCGCTCCCGCCCCGCTGCCCGCTAAGTTCGAGGCTGAGGCCTAAGGCTTGATTTCCTCCTACGCTGACGTCGGTCGCGTACATCGGTCGAGCGTACGAATAAACACAATGTTCTATGATGCACCGCACTGCAACGCCGTCGCCAGCGGCAGATGATTACATAGAAATAGTGTCTAATCGTGCGCGCCGCTGACGTCGGTCACCGATGTCAGCCTAAAAGGAAATCAAGCCTAAAGCCTTGATCACACGTACCGAGCAAACGAGAGAGACAGTTGGGTGAGCGAGTCACATACTCGAGCGCTCGGCCGAGCACTCGGCGTAATGTTCATACACACCGAGTGCTCGGTCGAGAGCACCGTCTCGCCCGTTTGCTCGGTACGTGTGATCAAGGCTTTAGAGCGCTTTCACATTTAGGCGGTTAAGCAGCGCGACAAACGCGCTGCCGAAAATTTCATACTATGTGAGCGGGCGGATGCATGCCTTCAACACAGTTGCCGCGCTTCTAACGCCCTAATGTGAAAGCGCTCTAAGAGTGATTCATGCCCGTTTTCACCATCAAACCCTAATTTTTAAGTGACCCTTGTGAAAACATAATTCCTGTTGTGTTACCATAGGGGTCAGTTAAAAATTAGGGATCGATGGTGAAAACGGGCCGCAGACTTCCGAAATAATGACTCAAATAATGCAGCTAAAATTCTTAAAAAGTAACTCAAGTGAGCGTCAGCATTCTAAAGTAGGATTTTTATTAGTCTACAAATAATATTGCTCTCTAAGTAAATAAAAGTAATCAATTTCTATTGGGATGTTGAAATGGACAAATTCGAGTGGAACAATAAGCGAAAAGAATAGAAAAAACAAAAATACACACCTTGTCATGCAGCAAACAAAACAACTGGCACACACTACAGCAAAAACAAACAAACGCGAGGATAAAAGCCCTATGAACACAGGCTGTAAAAGACCTTACTTCATAAGATCATTTCTATAGTAAGCTCTTCGCTAGACCTTCACACTAAAGCCTGGTCCGTGAGCACGTAGAATCCCGTCCAATGACCCCAAGCTGCCCAACCTTGTCGCTCGCACGTAATTATGTTGCTGTCGCGCTCGCACACTCACTGCGGGCGCCCGTCGCACAGTCGCGACAGCAATATAATTACGCGCGAGCGATAAGGATGGGTAGCTTGGGGTCATTGGACGGGATTCTACGTGCTCACGGACCAGGCTTTACATGAAACCATAAAATGATGGTGCAAATTGTAACAATCATGGTGATCATGTACAGCCTTTATGATAACCCGTGAAAAGTTATCCTCACGTTACGAATCGCGAACAATGAAACAACTCCGTGGTACGAGCACGCTTTATTGGCACTACAATGACGGAAGCCACGCCATATTTAATTTTGAGTACCCAGTCACCCATTCAGCGCTATCTAATCCAGTTCAAGACTCGCATACAAAAATACAATTTAATACTTAAAAATACTCATCATTACAGGGTCATCAAAACTAAAATATGGCTTGACTCCAATAAACAAAACTTGGAAAATTATAAAATACACATCGTAACATATTCAACGTAAAAAATCTCACATCAAATCAGTCATACTAACTGAATATCTACACATGACTACACAAACTCATGCAACACAAGAATTTAACGCATACTGAAACAAATACTGTGATGTGTATTGAGTATCTTTGGCCACACAATTACAGTACATAATTTTAGCAACAAAAATAAAGTCTTTGGATAAAATACACACATTATTTAAAGAATTACTTGCATTGCAAGCCTTAAAAACAATAACAAAAAAATAAAAATTTAAAACAAAATAAATCGTGAACAACATTCCTAATGGTAGAGTATAGAAACCTGTTTCCAACAAATATTATTCCACAGTAAAGATTTAAATGCTTAGTAAAATTGCACGATTGCACAAAAATATCGGAATAATAGCTCACAACAGTTATTTTATATCTTCACAAAATGAAATTAACTTCTTCTTTCTTCAGCTGAAAGCAGCTTTACATTTTATACTTAATTGAACAGGCACGGGGACAGGTTTGCTTTTAAATATCAACACAATGTTACTATTTTTTAGGATAATGCTGTACTGTACTTCTATCAACAAAATTACACTGTCACACAGTAAGTCTGGTCACCAGTGACTGAACAATTAAAAGCATTGGTTGTTTCTTTTGCAAGTAATTTCTCATCTAAACTTAAGTATAGTAAATTTCTTAAAGACAGCAAATATATCGAAACTTTAGAATGTTGTAAATAAAATTTTAATAAAAGTTAGTTAAATAAAATTTCTGTAATATTTGCTGAACAGAATCAACATAAATTATATTAAAGTATATGGCACAAACATAAATAAAATCTGAACGAAAGCAACGAGTCACAGGTGTAAATAAAACAAGCACTATTTGCACTCTTAACAATAAAACTACACGCACACATTATTATGGCATATCATGCATTTGGCTGTATTCATTATTCATACTTTGGCAACAAATTAGTGACTAGTTATAACTTATTTAAAATTGTACCGTTAGCATCTAACAAATTGTAATTTCTAATCACAAAAATGAACTGACAACGTATTTTGAATACAAAGTAATTATGACCTAGTTTTATATCTTACATAAAATTACACTTTCAAAGCCACAAGACGTGTGAAATATTAAAGTAAGCTAAAATAAATAAAAACTATATTTTAAGCACTAGAACGAGATCTCACTTTATTGCAGGCACGATTGTGTCTTACAATAATATCACATAATCTCACTGGCAGTTCTTAAAGGTATTATGGTAAGCGCACAATGGCCCAAAGAGCCAAGTGTGGTTCCCATTACCCTGCTAAACTAACTAGGTATCATGGCACGAGAGCATAAATAATTCGTATGCAGTGTAAATAAAACAATCGTTCTTTGTGTAAAAAACTAAAATGGTGAACTAGCTCTATCTACAGTATAAATATATTAATATATCATCTATGTAAAAATAGCAAATATTTGTCAACCTGTACAAGGTTTGTAGTATTAAAATGGCAGTTTATACTGGCCCAAGCAAATGGATGACTTTCAATTGAAGAAACGTTACATTTTATTGGGAACTAATATTATATTGTCAGATATTGTTATCTAGACTTTAAATTGACATAGGCTGGCAGCTATACATATTGACCGTTGAGTGCAAAATTATTCTTTACTTCGTTTTTGCACAAATACATTAGTGCTAAGTTAATTTGCATTTTAAGGAACACATTTTTGGTAGCATAATGATTATTATTTACTATTAACTAATGACTTGGCAGTATAGCCCTGAGACATGGATCTAAACTCTTTACCTCTAAGTAGTATTTATATAGCACCTATCATAACTATAGTCTGGCACACTCACTGCTGCCGTCGCACAGTCGCGACAGCAATATAATTACGCGCGAGCGATAAGGATAGGGTAGCTTGGGGTCATTGGACAAAATTCTACGTGCTCAGCGACCAGACTTTAGATAAAATGCCTGTTTGACGTGCCGTCATCACCAAACAAAATGTAACGTTTCTTCGACCCTATATCCTCAAGCCATGAGAATATACTCGTGGGGCTCAAGCTTGACGATGGAAGCGCGCGGGATGCGGGGCATCCGGGGGGCAGACCGGGGGCCATAGGGGCCACGGGGGCCACGGGGGGCCCGGGGGCGCACCTGCACGAGCGGCGCGACGCACACGCCGTCCTGCGCCTGCATGGACGCGACCATGGACTGGTACACCGACGCCGACACCGGCACCGTGATCACGCCCGACACCGACACCGGGTAGCCTGTGAGGATACAAGGTAAGGTATTATAGTCCATATTGCTACGTAATGAGACGCAGGCTAAGTGCGCCTTCACATTTACGCGACGGTCGGGCGACTCGAAATTTCATACTACATGACAGCGCGTCGCGCGGCTGACATAGTTCGACGGATTAGCAAGCTGAAGTGGTTATGGGCAGGAGACACAGTGCAGAGAACTGAAGACCAAATGCACTTTAGCACTTTACCTAAATTTAACACCTAAACCATTGTACCTATTCTTTGCATATAAATACTTTGACTTTTTTTTAAATGGGGCAGCAAGGTTCTGGAGTGAAGGCCGCGTACCGGAAAACGCAGCGTGAGACGTCCACCCACAAGGTAGACCAACGACCTCATAAAGATAGCAGGGAGGCGCTGGATGCACGCCGCTATCGACCGGATGATGTGAAAATAATCATCATTATCTTCATCATAATCCCATCATCATTATCTCAGGATCATCCCCCTGATGATCCTGAGATAATGATGATGATTGTTATTTTATTATACTATTGTACGAGACGCCGACAGTATGTGCATGCATGCGCGTGCGCATTATTCCCACATCTGAGAAGCTCTTGACTTGCATCTCACTTGACAAAAAGTGATAATCAACCGGAAGGTGAAAGTAGAGAAATAGAGCATACTCGTAGCAATATCTTTAGTTATTTCCAGAACACAAATCTTAGCCATGAAAAATGAGTTATTAACGAAAGTGTGAGGAATTGACGTTTGATTCAGAGAAGAATGAGTCTATCAGTCTTTTTAATTCGGAGTTGTGTGGATTCGAGGAAATATTTTAATCTAGAAGTGCCCCTCACCGTGTCCATCCTCGCCCGTGAGTATAATCTGTCCGTCGTGGTTGAGCGTGGCCTCGGCCACGGCGTTGAGGTCGCGGCCACCGCGCTGTCGCCGTCGATCGCCTGCACTATGCCTGAGCCTAAAGCGGGGTACTCATCTAGTCGTGTAGCATGTAATGTAACAGATACTGTATCAAGTGAGTACATAGTCACAAGCCCGCTGCGAGCTGCTCGCGCGTGGTTCGTAGGGGTATCACTGCGAGCACAAAGGCGGTTCGCAGTAGGATCCAGGAGCTCGCAGCTCGATACGCGATGACCGTGGACGAGTCGTACTCACTTAAAGCACCTTGAAGGTTGGATACGTTACATGCTACGAAACGTGCTACATGGCAGGTGAGTACCCTTCCTAAGAGTGCCACATTCGTCCCCACAACACTAGCCACTCACCGTGTCCGTCCTCGCCCGTGAGTATGATCTGCCCGTCGTGGTTGAGCGTGGCCTCGGCCACGGCGTTGAGGTCCACGGCCACGGCGCCGTCGCCGTCGATGGCCAGCACTATACCTGAGCCTAAGAGTGCCACAACTATCACCACAACACTAGCCACTCACCGTGTCCGTCCTCGCCCGTGAGTATAATCCTCAGATCATAGAAAGAGAATAGATATGAAGTCGCGCGTAACTACAACGAGAACCAGTGTCCCCACATTTCCCCCACCACAGCTCCCACACACACATTCAACTGTGTAAAAACAAAGCGACTGAGAGTCTACGACAACATGTGCAACCGGCTTAAAAGTGCTGTGATTGGCCAGAAGGCGTGCCTTAAGGCCAATCAATGGCCGCGTGACGTGACGCACACTTTGAAAAAAGCAATTAGAGAGAAGAAAGATAAAATGGAGTCGATAAGATATCGATACTTTAAATCCTGGGGGCAAGGCTCGAAATTGGTTTAAAAAATGCTTGTATGAAAACCTTTTTATTATTATACGTTATTATTATGTTCTTTAACGATTTTTGCATAAAGGAGTCAGTTCCATTTTGTATGGACGAAAAACTCAGAATCAATTATTGGGACTAAATGAAGTTACCTTATATTAATTTACCCCAACCAAAGCTCAATGTCGTTATCGATGGAGTATAGAAGTTATAGACTGACAAAGTTTGTATGAAAAGTCATGGGTTAAGTAGGTACTTGCGATTTTTACCAGTATTTACAATATTGGTAATATATTATTATTTACTTTAATAATAATAACAGGATCACTGTAATTATTATTAACTACTATCGCGCATTAACTTTTTAATTATGGCGAAATTCGTACCGCCTATGTTTATCAAAAATAATGCCTATATTAGGCTTTCAACTAGCTCTTATAGTAATTACATAGTTGACAGTTACTAATCCCTTCTACTATTGTTATTGTTTTTGTAAAAACTTAAAAATCGCAAGCAACTCATGATTTTTTCATTCAAAATTAGAAAATAGAAAATAATAATTTACTTCTATTTATCGATAATAGGAAACCGTATTAGAACACGAGCCCTGCACTATGTTACGACCGGCACATGCGGCCGTACTGTGTATTTTCACGCGTCAGTGGATATCGGAAGAAATAAAATACATTGCGCAGTAGTTACGCATGACATAAAGTGGTTGCTAACTAAATCGTCAATGTACAACGTGTTTGAATTTTTATCACCACTAATTTTGATATCGCAGTAAATGTCACGGCACTGAATGCGTTCGTAAAAATGTTTAGTTTTTTTAATTTATAAGCAAAATACCAATGGATTTGCAATACTTACATGTGGTAAATGACTTCATTGTTCCTGTAGTTCTTCGTTTCACTTATGTTATTGCACGTTACGACGCATTATCCAACAATATCGGAGAACATTTCCTCAGTACGACTGAATCGCGACTAACCTGGCGTCGCGGGCGATGTTCGTTTCTGGGCATATCGCGGAGACACGCGCCACGCCCCCGTTTCACATCTATTCCCTTCTATGATCTGAGGTATAATCTGTCCGTCGTGGTTGAGCGTAGCCTCGGCCACGGCGTTGACGTCGCCGTCGATCGCCAGCACTATACCTGAGCCTAAGAGTGCCGCAACCATCCTCACAACACTAGCCACTCACCGTGTCCGTCCTCGCCCGTGAGTATGATCTGCCCGTCGTGGTTGAGCGTGGCCTCGGCCACGGCGTTGAGGTCCACGGCCACGGCGCCGTCGCCGTCGATGGCCTGGACGACGCCCACGCCGCCGCCGCCGCCCTCGCCGCTGTGGATCTGAGGATGCAATGGTGGCCCGTTCAAGTGACTGGAGGTGGGACAGGATAACGAAAGAAGTTATGTGAACAAAGCCATGTTGCTTGGTTAGGCATGTTCTTTGCTCATTTGTTTATTGAATTTACTGCTAATCAAATGAGGTGTAAAAGGCCATTATGGCACTCCCTCTTCAACCTTCAATAATTAAAACCTTGTTCACTTAAATTCTTTTGATATCTTGGTCCAAAAACAGTTACTACACCAAAACTATTTTCTTGCTGTTAAACGTGCTTTATAGTTCTAAAGTTGATGGAACTGAGTTTCTTTTACAATTTTTCCCCAGTATAAAATTTGTTAATTTAACTATTTGACCTTGTCCACGTAAACCCCATATTTAATCTACGTCTCTACAAGTTCTACAATTGTAACATTAATATCATGCAATCTAGTAAATATGTGCAAGGACTGAAAATACAACATATCAAAAGTTGTCCTTATTCAAAACTTATTTGCGTATTGAACAGAGTACATTTTTTCCAATAATTATACAAGCAACAACAAGCAGTGATAAGATATTTATACAATTAAAATAATAGTTTATCTTTCTAGGGATTTGTTCTGCGATTATTTCGTCGTTGTCGCCAAACTGCTTTGTTTGAATCAAAATTCAACTATAAATGAATAAGCAGGAAAGAATGAGGGTTTTCGCGATTGAAAAATCCGCCAGATGGCAATACGTAGACGCGAGGTCCAAATGCTGCATGATTGGTGGATTTTGACAATTATCTGTCATGTCAAAAATAACCAATCATGCAGCATTTGCCATCTGGCGGATTTTTCAATCGCGAAAACCCTCATTGATTCCGTTATTTAATCGATCGTCATTTTATTACTTTTTTATCAGTCCCTGCACATAACACCAAAACTTCACATAACCAAAAACAAAACATAATCCACGTCCACAGACAACAAACATACACACGACATAGATAGTTAGTGAGGGGCTTTAACTTACACTTACCACCTGGGCCGTGGTGCCATCGGGCAGCGTGATGATGGGGTTGTTGGGGTCCACCTGGATGAGCGACACCGTGCCGTCCGGGTTCGTGATGGTCTGGAGGACCGCCGGCGCGTACTGAGACATCTGTTGAGTTGCGCCGGGACACGCGGGTTTAGAACGGAAAAAACAAAAAGCGAACGTTCGTACAAAAACGCGTCGAAACGGAACAAAAGAAACACTTTTCGTGGTGTTGGAGTGGACATGCATTAATTTAAAGTGAAATTGACATTTTCGGTAATGCCTTGCGCCACGTAAATCAAGAGTAAAAATACCGTTTTAGAAACTAAAAATCACGACTCATACTTAATAAAGTGACGCATTTTCAGCGCTTGCGCATCTTGAACGTTTGAGTCGAAGATCACGTCACGATTGAGGGCCAACTGTACAAGATGCAGACTGTGGTGTTTACGCATCTTTATGTATTAAAAGTGCTACATATCCATTGATTTTAGCCGTAAGATTAGTAGAGCACACTTCATAGTGCGCGGACAGCGTGATGATGGGGTTGTTGGGGTCCACCTGGATGAGCGACACCGTGCCGTCCGGGTTCGTGATGGTCTGGAGGACCGCCGGCGCGTACTGAGACATCTGTTGGGTTGCGCCGGGACACGCGGGTTTAGAACGGAAAACAAAAAGCGAACGTTCGTACAAAAACGCGTCGAAACGGAACAAAAGAAACGCGGCTAATACGTGAGATAGGGATAAATTCTCGTTAATGGAGTGGACATGCATTGCTCCTGATTTCATTTGACGCACGCTAAAACAACGACTTTTACGGAAATAAATCATGTCTACTATGGGGTCTATGGGCAATGCTCTGCGAGACGTAATCCATTATAGTTCCGTCCGGGTTCGTGATGTTCTGGAATACTGCCGGCGCGTACTGAGACATCTGTTGAGTTACGCCGGGACACGCGGGTTTAGAACGGAAAACAAAAAGCGAACGTTCGTACAAAAACGCGTCGAAACGGAACAAAAGAAACGCTGCTAATACGTGAGATCGGGATTTCTCGTTAATGGAGTGGACATGCATTGCTCCTGATTTCATTTGACGCACGCTAAAACAACGACTTTTAAATAAATCATGTCAACTATGGGGTATATGGGCAATGCTCTGCGAGACGTAATCCATTATAGTTCCGTCCGGGTTCGTGATGTTCTGGAATACCGCCGGCGCGTACTGAGACATCTGTTGGGTTACGCCGGGACACGCGGGTTTAGAACGGAAAATAAAAAGCGAACGTTCGTACAAAATCGCGTCGAAACGGAACAAAAGAAACGCGGCTAATACGTGAGATAGGGATAAATTCTCGTTAATGGAGTGGACATGCATTGCTCCTGATTTCATTTGACGCACGCTAAAACAACGACTTTTACGGAAATAAATCATGTCAACTATGGGGTCTATGGGCAATGCTCTGCGAGACGTAATCCATTATAGTTCCGTCCGGGTTCGTGATGGTCTGGAGTACCGCCGGCGCGTACTGAGACATCTGTTGGAGTTGCGCCGGGACACGCGGGTTTAGAACGTCATCTGGTCGATGCAGACGGGCTCCTGCAGCACGGCCGGCTGGTGCTGGCGATCTACTCGCCACACGAGTACCGAGCGAGTGATCTAACGCAAGTGACACGAAAGTACCCCATATGGCACATAGATGCCCCGTAATTAATGCGTATTGTATGTACCGTAAGAGTATCAAGTAACAACAAGTTTTGCGATGTTTTTGTCACGCAATCAGTACAATATTAAACCGTAAGTCAAAGTAACACAGCGGTCGTACATGAACATCAGCGAGCGTCATCTGATCGATACAGACGGGCTCCTGCAGCACGACCGGCAAGTACCGAGCGAGTGACCCAACGCAAGTGACATGTAAGTACCACCCCATATGGCACATAGACGCACCGTAAGTAACGCGTATTGTACCGTAAGAGAAAATCCGTTTCAAGTAACAAGTTTTGCGATGTTTTTGTCACGCAATGAGTTCAATATTAAACCGTAAGTCAAAGTAAAGTAGATTAGTCGTACATCAACGTCAGCGAGCGTCATCTGGTCGATGCAGACGGGCTCCTGCAGCACGGCCGGCTGGTGCTGGCGCGAGGATCCACTCGCAGACGAGTACCAAGCGAATGTCGCAAGTCACAACGCAAGCGGCACCAAAGTACCCCATATGGCACACAGATGCACCGTAATTAATCCGTATTGTAAGTTTTGCAACGTTTCTGTCACGCGCATATCAGTTCAATATTAAACCGTATTTCAAAGCAGTAGAGTAGTCGTACATCAACATCAGCGAGCGTCATCTGGTCGATGCAGACGGGCTCCTGCATCACGGCCGGCTGGTGCTGGCGCGAGCCCGACGCGCCGCTGCTCCCGCTACCCACACCCGCCGCCGCCATGCAGGCCGATATCTAACCGTCAACGTATGAGCATCGATATTGAATGTGTCGCAACGTTTGTGGCACGGAAGTACCACATATGGCACATAAATGCACCATGAGTACCACGTATGGCACATAAATGGACCGTGAGTACCGCTTATGGCACATAAATGCACCGTGAGTACCGCGTATGGGACATAAATGCACCAAGTACCGTGTATGGCGATAAGTGTACCATAGGGACCGCGTGTGACACGTAAATGTACCATTGAAGTTGAGCGTATGGCAAAAGGATAAAATATGACACATAATAATACCACACAACAGTGCCACATTTGGCACATGAAGGTACCGTTTATCACAAAAGGTATAAAACAGGTACAAATACATATTCAAACGTGATACGAAAAATTCGATCCATGTTTCGAGTACGGTACATAACAAGTTATAATGAGATCGACAAAACGATACATCCCAAATGTACGTTTCACATAATAGGGTGTTAATTAGATCAACGTGACAAATTGCGAAACCACGTTTATGTTTCACGTGCCCAAATTAGGTCATCAAGTTCACCGAGTAATTAAACCGCACGCACACGCATACAAAATAAAAATAGTTGTAATAATAACGTTACCAAATCCAAGCAGCATTCCAATTGATGGCGTATGTAGAAAAGAACATGAATTAGTAAAATTTTGAAAGAGTTAGTCAAGGAATAGGCTAGTTTCCTAAAAAAAATTTTTTAGTCCGTCAATTTTAGTATAAATAACTATTGCACACGTATATTTTTAATTGTCAATCAAACAAATAATTACAAAGTTATAGTGCGTTGAAGTTCCGCGCGACGTCACAAAGTGCTGCAATTTTACGCACTCACTGACGTCACGGGCCTTTTCTTTAGAACTTTGGTACGCTTTATGTATTTACATATTCATTAGTTTTAAAAATTAGGTGTCGAATAGTTTTTGATAAGCTGACTGACGGACTAATTAAAACTCTTGCTTTTTTACCCAGGAAACATCCCTAATATCGAAAAGAGAGGACTTGAACCCAGACCTCAAGTCTTTTAATTAATCACTATTAATTGTAGTAATTAAACCACGTACACAAATAGCTATATTGCAATGGATGTAATCTTGAAACGGCTTCAGTTGAAGCCAACTCGTGAAGTGTTTGATTTCGAGTTAAATTGATTTAATGATTTCATAGCTAACACGAACAATGTTAATCAGGGGTAAAATAAATTGTTAACGATCTTGCTCAAATAATGTGTAAATAAATTGGGCTGAGTTGCATCACATTAACAAAGTCTAGTCTAGTTAAAAGTTTGACAGACTTGTGTAACCCAGGGTGGGAGAAGTTTTTCTCAGACCCAAGTTTTGACTAATTACAAGCACATAGTCCAATGTGTGAACATAGCAAGAGAGGTAGCGTGTAGTGTGATATCGTGTGCATGTGTATGGTGTACTGACGGTCTGCGTCTGCGGCTTGTCGTCGTCTTCGTTGAAGGCGGGCAGCAGGTCCTCGCGGCCGTGGTACTTGTAGCAGTTGATCACGATCTGCCGCAGGGCGTGCGTCCATGACATCTGCAAACGACGGACAGTTAGTGACTTTGTTTTGATATTATATTACGGGACTATTCCCACCTCTCGTTCCTACCGCTGCAACTCCTGTGTAGCCAGGAACTACAGCTTGACCGCCAACAAAAACCCAACCAGTGAAGGTCCCTCCCTTGCAAAATGGAAAAAAGCTCCACCTGGCACACCATTAGTAATTTAACCATTCTTGTGTTGTGAAGTACACAGTCGGCACACCATAATCCGTTTATCAAAATCGTTTTTCTGGAAGCTCCTGGTGAAATTGTGATACAAACTACAACTTTCGTTCGTTCGTTCGTTTCAGCCGAAAGACGTCCACTGCTGGACAAAGGCCTCCCCCAAGGATTTCCACAAAGACCGGTCCTGCGCCGCTTGCATCCAGGTACTTCCCGCGACCTTCACCAGATCGTCGACAACTTTACTGAATACGTAAACAATCAACTTTAAAGCGATTATGACACCGTATCACGCTGTTAGTTACTTAAGTCTTCCAGTACAACACTCGAAAGGCTGGTAGTTACTTAAGTGGATACTTGACAACGTGATGGCGCGGCAGATCGTGTTACAGGCAGGTCTGTAGATTGCCTAAGGGGGGTTTTAAAATCGCGCTGACCTGACCGCTCGCTGATCGTCGGCGCTGACGGATCAATATGTATGTAATTGAAGGGAACGTTCCTGAGTGACGCTGATTGCTCGGCGCCGACGCTTCATACATTTCGGCTGTCAGCGCTGACGGTCAGCGTGACTAAAACCAGCCTAAGTGATATCATGTCATGTCAAAGGGCACCAACCTTCTGTTTCTCGTCCTCAGAGCGCGCGTCCATACGCACGTTGGCCCAGGGCAGGTCCTTGGGCCACCACGGCGGCCGCGTCGATTCGCGGCCCCAGCCCGGCTTGCCACGCACTGCCGAAGCATTTGCATTCATTTCACAAACAATTTAGGCGGTTATCACACTGCGCCGCGCTCCGCCGCGGAGCGCGTGATCTACTATATAAAAATAAGTCGGGTTTTCCTCCCTGACGCTATAACTCCAGAACGCACGAACCGATTTCCACGGTTTTGCATTCGTTGTAAAGGTCTCGGGCTCCGTGAGGTTTATAGCAAAGAAAATTCGGGAAAAGGGGGTAAAACAGGATCCACGCGTACGAAGTCGCGGGCGGCCGCTAGTTTTCATATAAAAACGCGTACGCGGACGCGTTGTCAGTGTGAAGTGCCGCGCGTGTTTTCTATACAAACTGAGGTACTTGCATGCAATGATTAAATCTGTCGCCCCGCGCTCCGCGGCGGAGCGCGGCGCAGTATGATAACCGCCTTACAGTGAAGAAATCATTCAACAAAGCGTTTATAAGTATAACACTAAGGTAGGCGGACGCATTTATAGAATCACTAGCTTTTGCCCGCGGCTTCACCCGCATTAAATTTAGTGTCACAAATCGGCATAAATTATAGCCTATATTTATGTTAATCTGGGTTATAAACAATAATACTGTGAAGTTTCATCAAAATCAGTTCAGTAGTTTTTGCGTAAAAGAGTTACAAACATCCAGACATCCAAACTTTCGTAGGTTCTAGGTAATATTAGTAGGATCATCATCAGGTCTCCCGTCTCTACTGGAGGAGCCAGGAGACAACCCTTTCTAATTTACCAGATGCAAATGAAGAAGGATTTCAACTGTAGGCGAGACATGATGTTTGCACATTCGTATGTTAGTCGAATTTCACGATATCCTCGGAAAATGGGAGTGACCCTATTCTACTTTTGTGTTGTATCTAATTTTATCAATTAAATTATGTTTGAATCTGACTAACTAACTTGGTTAACCAAAAAAATCATGTTTTTATGATGACTCACGACTGCTACTCCATTTACTTACTTCTATTAGGCCTCAGCCTCGAACTTAGCGGGCAGCGGGGCGGGAGCGGCGGCGGCGCTGGAGCGGGGCGGGCAACGCAGACCCGTTCTCGAACAAGCGGGCAGCTCGCGCGGCGCTTTAGCGGCGAAGTGTTGTGTTCGGGGGTGTGTTGTCGAGATATTTGTTTTTATTCGCAAAAGAAATGTCTGAACAACGGCGACAATTTTATTTCGATTCAAATTTATTCCTAACGCTCGATTTATTGTGGGCAAAAGAAGGAGTGCGCTGCCCGCTCGTTGCCCGCTCCCTCGCCGCTGCCCGCTCGTTGCCCGCTGCCGCGCCGCTGTTTTCGAGAACCGGTCTATTTGATTTTACGCATAAGATCCTGCGGCTCCCGCGCCGCCGCCGCCGCCGCCCCGCTGCCCGCTAAGTTCGAGGCTGAGGCCTAAAAGATTGAAATAAGGAGAGCTACAAGACCTAGCCAGTAATTGAAACAATAGTAAAAAACATCACTCACCCATCGAGTACTTGAGCATGAGCGGTATGAAGGCGCGCAGCTGCGCTTGCGTCATCTTCTCCACCGGCGTGGGGATGCCGTCGATGATGAGTGGCGGCAGCTCAAACAGCGACGGGTCGTCCTGCGGCGGCGGCGGCGCCTGCTCGCACCCGCCCAGCCCGAACTAACCACGTTATGTTGGCGCCACCCGCGCGCCACGCATCGGCGCACCCCGCGAATCGAGCCAGGGGTTAACGACCAACGGTTTTGAGGCAATGCCGGCAAATATGGGACTGTTCAAGTATTACGTAAGCAGATTTCTTACCATTTTTTACCCCCCCGCCCCCCTTGTCATCAAAAGTAAGCAAAGCACTTACCCCCTCCCCCTATGCTTACGTAAACATTTTTAGTTATAAATGTTTTTTATATTGTCATTTTTAAAATTTGAAAATTCATGAAAATATTAGGTTTAACTGATACACATAGAGTTCGTTCGTTTCAGCCAAATGACGTCCACTGCTGGACAAAGGCCTCCCCCAAGGTTTTCCACAATGAACGGTCCTGCGCTGCCCGCATCCAGGCTCTTCCCGCGACCTTTACCAGATCGTCGGTCCACCTAGTAGGAGGCCTGCCCACGCTACGTTTTCCAGCCCGTGGTCGCCACTCGAGAACTTTCCTGCCCCAACGGCCATCGTCTCTACGAGCTATGTGCCCCGCCCACTGCCACTTGATTTTAGCAATTCTGCGAGCTATGTCGGTTACTTTGGTTCTCCTACGGATCTCCTCATTTCTGATTCGATCACGCAGGGAAACTCCGAGCATAGCCCGCTCCATCGCCCTTTGGGTGACCTATAGAGTAAGGGACAAAAAAATATAATCAGAAATAAAGAAAATAACAAACATAATTGCATCAATTATGCATCAACATAAACACAAATGATAACTTTCAATGCTTACAATACGTTTAGTATCCAAACAAAACATGCGCGGCCGGCCTCGCGTATAATAATATGCGGACTACGACTCTCAAATTTTAATGGGCAGTGTCGGCACGAGAGTTAATTATTAGACAAGTGATAGCGCACGGTAATTCCCCTAATCAGTTCTCAAAGCGAGTGCCTACGCATATGTATTATTTGCGGGAATCCCCGAAAAAACGTAAATAACTAACGATGACGTAATCATCATCTAGACCCCCCTACCCCCCATGTCATCCAAAATAAGCAAAACAGAGATGGTGCTTACGTAATACTTGAACGGCCCCTATGTTGTTAACATTTTTGGGACAATATGCCCTGTATTTAGCACTGTAACTGTCACGTCGATACGTGCGCGCGCTCCCTTAACATTCTTGAGGCAATACGCCTGTATTGAGCAGAATGCTACAAGTCTTGAGTAGCTATGTTGACGCAATATAGCCAAAAACCGTTGCTTGTTCACAAGGACTTTGTACCACATAGTTTTGAGATCCAATTTATTTTTAAAAGGCTATTGTATAATTAGATTTAGAGGAAAGTACTCATCAATAATGGCCGGCATTTTACAGACCAAAACGAAATTGCCGACCATACCGAATAACCAAAAGGGTCACGCACTGTATTAACTGTGTGGTACTGGATCGAATTCAAGTGACACTTCTTATAGCTACTGTACCCAAAGGACATTGTCAGAAACCGCCTAAAAAACCGCCCAAAAACATTAACCCATCATAATTATTTTCTATTTTTTTTAATACATTAAGCACCCTTTCATTCTAATGGACACTTAAGCATTGAAAAATTAAATAAATAAGTCTTTTAACGTTTATTCTATAATACTATTACAACTTCCGGACGTTTTGGTGCGTGGCATGGTCTAAAACCTATCAAGTTCCATAATTTTTGCCGATAAAATCTGTACGAGGCATTACCGTACTTTATTGCTGGGAGTCCATGTATAGTGATGTTCCTGCGGCCATCATAGACAATAAAATATCGATTTTGAAAATAAAATAAATCGATTAAACTGCTTTGAAGACTAGATTTGCGTTAAAAGCTAAAAAGATATTGACAGTTTGACACTATTACAAGAAGATATCTAAAGTGTCCAACTGGTCGAAGGTCGTAAATAAAATAAAAATAATTAGGACCATAATTCGTAGAAGGTTCTTACATAAAAAATAAGCAGATTGCTTTACTGTAACAGATAAAATTTCAAGCTGGGTGAAGTCCGGGCAAAAGCTAGTTTTAGTAGTTGATTGATATTTTTTAAATTATGCAGTTTTGTCTTTGATGTGTCCTTAAACAGAAAGTTTATTAGTATTTAGTTAATTGGTATATCTTATATTTACTTTTTTTTAATAATATCCCTAAGTTTTGTGTTACTTTGTACAGAGTGATTTAAAATAAAATAAACATGTTAAATTGATCCCAAATGACACTGATCATTTAGAATTTTGTTTATTAATTATTTAAAAAATACACATTCATAAATATTCAGTTTTATTTCGTTGAAAAAAATACTAATTCAAAACTGCCCCAGGCGTGTTCAAGGCTGCCCCGACTACGGGGCAGTTTTGAACATTTACAGGTCTGTGCAAAAATCTAAATATCTTAAAAAGCGTTCATTAATAATTAAGAAGAACATCATTATTTTGTTGTGTGATAACCATGACCTCTATCTAGGAAGAAAAAATTAATGAAATCAGTCAAATTTAGAAGATATTTAATAAACTATGAAAATTGTTCAAAGCTGCCCCCCTCTCCCCTACGCAACGAAACGAACTCGAAAGTTTTTCCTACTAGAGGTACCGTTACTTGCTGCTTGATTAGTGGAAATTGAGCCAGCACTGAATCAGCAAAAATAAATAATATTGGTGGTGTAAATTACGTAGTTGTCAAATGAGTGAGTCGGCAACGTCGAGTGAGAGTGAATGTGCGAGTGAATTAACGCGCGAGAGCTGTTACTTGCCGCTTGAATTGAGACAGCACTGAACCAGCGAAAAGTTACATGTGGTTCAAATGAGGATCATTTCGATTTTTAGCTGTGAATGCAGATTTATGGGGCTAAGAAATCCTTAATACACAGTGCAAAAATTTTTGTTCTACGACAAAAATTGACGAAGTTATGGCCAAATTACTAAAAAAGTTCACTGACCGCCCGGCGCGGGGACGATGACGTCATTATATCCGATCCGAACGCTGCCGGCGTACTGCGTGGATAGAAAATATTTTTTTCTAGCCAAATTATCAGTTTTAGAGAAAAACTTGTAATGACATTTATTCATCAGAATAAAGTAAGCTATCGATAGGTAATTTTTAAAAATGGAAATTGTGAAAAATAACGCAAAAAATCCATACGCTCATACGATTCAATGGCACGCAGAGACGCGATTGGGGTCTCCGCGGTGGTATATTTGGCGATTTATTCAAATAAAGTGTACATAAGTGTTGTTAGAGTCATATCTTCTTCCAAGTAAAATATAAAAATGTATAAGTATTAATTTATTTACTTCTAACAATAAGGTATAACTTCTAACAATACAAGTAAAATATAAAAATGTATAAGTATTAATTTATTTACTTCTGACAATAAGGTATAACTTCTAATAATAAGACATTGCTATGAAAATCATTTCGATGTACACTTAATAAGTTAATACCTACATTTAGTTTTTCTGAGTTAAACCTACGCACCTACCTATCTATTCGCCGTTCCCATGGGCGGGCCAGCTGCTGCAGGAAAGGACAGCCGCTCCGTGCTTGAAATCTATTTAATCTTAGCCTAGAAGCTGGGTATGACTACCCCGCCCCTCTCCTCTCCCCAGGTCATAAGCTGGGCATGACTTCCCCCTCGGCCAGAAGTTGGGTATGATTTACCCCCCATACAAACAATCATTAAGTTACACTCACCCCAACCGCGTCTCCGCATTGCATCGAATCCTTTGAAAATGTGGTTTTTGGACATAGCAATACTTATTTTTCACAATTTTTATTTTTAAAAATTACTGGTCGATAGGTTACTTTATTTTGAAGAATAAATGTTATTAAAAGTTTTTTTCTAAAACTGATAGTTTAGCCGGAAAAAAATATTTTCCATCCCATTACTACGCCGGCTGCGCTCGATTCGGATATAATGACGTCACGCGGCCTTGCGTACGTTGACTTTTAGCGGCAAAAACGGCCTATGTTTATTACTTAATATCTTCGTAAGTAATGGTCCGATTTGGATAATTCAAAAAGATATATCTTTCTTACGTCTTAAAGATTAACGTAGATACTAGTTTTATTGAATTTTCTACAACAGTACTGATCCTCATTACGCAACTGTCAAATGAGTGAGTCTGCAACGTCGAGTGTGAGTGAATGAGTGAGTAAGTGAGTGAAATAACGCGCTTGAGAGCTGTTACTTGCCGCTTGAATTGAGGCAGCACTGAACCAGCGAAAAGTTACATGTGGTGTAAATTACGCACGTGTCAAATGAGTGGGTCTGCACCGCTGAGTGAGTAAATTAACATGTCATTCCGAGCTGAAACGGCATGAGAGCTGTTACTTGCCCAGCACTGAACCAGCGAAAAGTTACATGTGGTGTAAATTACGCAACTGTCAAATGAGTGAGTTTGCAACGTCGAGAGTGAATTAATGAGTGAAATAACGCGCATGAGAACTGTTACTTGCCGCTTGAATTGAGGCAGCACTGAACCAGCGAAAAGTTACATGTGGTGTAAATAATTACGCAGTTGTCAAATGAGTGAGTCTGCAACGTCGAGTGTGAGTGAATGAGTGAGTAAGTGAGTGAAATAACGCGCTTGAGAGCTGTTACTTGCCGCTTGAATTGAGGCAGCACTGAACCAGCGAAAAGTTACATGTGGTTCAAATTACGCAACTGTCAAATGAGTGAGTCTGCAACGTCGAGTGTGAGTGAATGAGTGAGTAAGTGAGTGAAATAACGCGCTTGAGAACTGTTACTTGCCGCTTGAATTGAGGCAGCACTGAACCGCAACTGTCAAATGAGTGAGTCTGCGACGTCGAGTGTGAGTGAATGAATGAGTGAATGAGTGAAGTAACGCGCGTGAGAGCTGTTACCTGCTGTGCGAGCGCGTTCTCGAGCTCCTCCATGATCATGCAGCGCAGGTTGCGGACCACGTCTTCGAGCGGCTTCGCGCCGAACACGCGGTAGGACGTGTTGGGCTTGCCGGGAGTCGCTACCAGAACCACGGCCTGTTGCCCCACGCGAGTCGCGAACTCTTCGATGGTTTGCTGGGATAATACATTATGCTAAAGTGAACTGCTTTTAAAATTACAGGAGAGTGAGAGAAACCATTGTTAAGTGTTGAAGCTTCTCTTGCCTCCTGCATAAAGACGACTGCCATACTTTTTTTTAGTGCAAATTCGACCCAAATGGCTAAAAGAGGATCATCCATTGATAGTGCGAGTTCAAGATGACAGTCTTCTAGCTGATACCCTGCAGCATGTTGTTGCTACAAAGTTCCAAATAACTGACTTATCATCTGTGTCCTATTACAGCTGCCATTTGGTAGTTAGGCTGTGGTCAGAAGAGGGTAGAATAGTCCGAAAATAGGATTAATAAATAAATCTTTGGACAATTTCACACAGCGCCAGCTAGCCCCAAAGTAAGCAACTTAATGCTTGTGTTATGGATGCTAGCTTAACGGATATACTACTTGTATACTTTTTTTTTAAATACATAAATATTATACATAGTCACACCCAGATCAGTCACAGAAATTAAAATTCATCATTTCAATTTCTGCCCGGCCGGGAATCGAACCCGGGACTACTCGGCATAGTAGTCCGTTCTGAACCACTACACCAAACGACCGATTAATTCATTGTTGGGGGAGGTCTATATCCAGAAGTGGTCTAAGGTGACTCACCCTTAGCTTCCTAAGCAGTCTGTTCTGGTGGCGCTTCCTGACTGACGGGTTGGTCTCGAAGGAGTGCGGCCGCTTGCGTTTCTTTGACGACGCTATAGCGGCCGCGGCTGCCATGCCAACCGGACCTGGAGGAATCAGCTTATAAGTATCAGCACGGTAGGTGTGATGTAGGGCTTCTTTTGAGTGTGATCACACTGTAGGTGTGCACGAGTGGATTAAATTTCACCTTTGGCTAGAGAGAATTAGCTGGAAAATTCTAATTATGTACCATTTAATTAACCTTGGCTTACAACTACAACAATCAGGTGCTTGAATGTAGAAGATCATAATTAACATTAACATTAGGATGGCACATGCAAATATGACGGAATATCAGAAACTGAACAACGTGATTCTTTAAAATCAATTTATATTATTTATCTACTTGTCTTAACATCCATCAGAACCGCACGCGCCGCAATTATCGAATTTGGTGATGCCTCGTAATTCGTATCGTAGGCGTCGTACTCGCCGTAGCACCGAACGCGTCCTTTATTATAATCATTAGTCTTAGCGAATATTTGCTATGAATTGAGAGCATTGTTGTCGGTTCAAACAGTTGCGCGGCTCGAATCCCCACCTACTGAATTTCCATTAAGAACCACATAATACACAAATGTGCATATTTAATTTATCTTATGTCCTATGGCTGAAATGATGATGATTAATCATCAGTCGTCGTCGTCCTCGAAGCCGCAGCCCGCCTGGACATGTCCCGGCACTGACCTGCGGCGGCCAGCTGCTTGGTGACCTCGTCGCTCATGGCGGTCTTGATGATGTCGCTGTCGTCGTAGTTGGAGCCGGCCGGCGAGGACGCGCAGTCGTCGTCGTCCTCGGAGCCGCTCAGCCCGCAGCCCTCGCCTACTTGCGACATATCCTGGGAACGGAGTTTGCACTTATAGATATGATTGGTGCAACTGCAGACTGCAGAGAACAAAAGTCAACTGAGCACTAAAATGAGAAAAAGAAATTAAAACTAGAAAGAATTGTGTCTATCAGACTAACTTATCAAACTTCAGCATTTTCTGACTTACATAGTATGCAAAACTATCATTTCAATGAATAGTGGATCTTAAACCACATGATCAACCCAATCAGATAGCTATTAAGATATTTTAAAACAAAAAACTTAACTGGTATACAGTCAAAATGTCATTTCATCAAGTTATTGGATTTTAACAGCCTTCAAGATTATGACTGGCACTCTACACTCAATACATACAAAATACAAATCAATGGATCTATGGTTTAACTATCTAAGAAATGAATTAAGATTATATACCTCTTCGTTCATATCCATAGACTCGGTGCTCACGGCGGAGTTCATGATGAAGTCTGGTTCGCCGTCTTCCTCCTGCTCGCGCACCTCTCGCACCATTGGCGTTCCCTCCTCCAGCTTGCTCGTGGTTGATGCCGTGTTCTCCTCACCAAGTTACAAATTAGCTCCTGCAAAAATATTTTATTCATTATAACAGTGTTTTTCAACCTGTGAGTCGCGACCCCCTGGGGGGTCGCCAAGCCCCTGTAGGGGGGTCGCGAGAGGTCGTAAAAACTACCTCAGTAAAAGAATCAGTAAAGTTATAATGATAGATTTATCCGAAATCTAATTATCCAATTGCATAAATGTTGTATGGATTGAAATATTCGGTCCCTACAACATATTTGTAACATTATAAAATGCATGAAAAAAAAAAGCGAGCGGTCGGGGATCGCAAAATATTTTTTCATACTAGGGGGGGGGGGGGTCGCGTCATGAAAAAGGTTGAAAAACACTGCATTATAAAATCAATTATTGGAAAAAACATTTGAATATGTAAAATGTATTTATTTATTTATCTTAATTAAAGAAACATACAGCCTTGTTTGACACATGCAGCTTAAAATTAAGTGGGTTATACATTGGCCTTTAAAGTTTAATTTAAATAAGGATAAAATTTAAATTAAGATCATTTATGCAGTAAAATGTTTACAGACAAGGTTATAATAGTGACTGCTGTACTAATGAGTTTAATAAAACTGATACTCCTAAATTGTGAATACAGGGTATTAGCATTAACTAGTAATGGAGTACAATAGATTCACACAAAGAGTGGCAGCTGTAAATCATACAGCACTAAGTTATCAATCAATTTAATGAAAGGCTTGTATGATTGAAGATTATAGAGCCTATTATTGTAATAAATTAACTGATTAACTTACTTTTGAATGTAATGTTTAAGCACAGCAATCACCTGAATGTAATCATTTAAGCAAGCTCTTCCATTCTATGAAATACTTTTGCTCTTAAAAAATTGTATTGTTCAAGTTTATAGAATTAAATTGGAAATATTGCATACTGTTTGAACTGAGTCACAAACAAGAATATTGAGGCTTTTTAATAAATTATGTCTAACTGTATAAAATGTGTTTAGGAAATTCTTATAAGATTCAAGACAATTAGTTTTACTTAGGCAATTATGTATTTTCTTATTGGAATTGCTTGAGATTGTAAAAAGAACCTAAATTTACATGCTATGCTCTATCATACAAAGCTAGCTTGGCTAGCTGGAAGGCATCTTGCTATAAAAAATCATTACCAAAGAAGTTATTGATTAAGTTTTGGACCTTTTCAAACTTCATGTTCATGATATAAAAAATGAAGACCTTTTTCATGTGACTGGATTGAATTACAGAAAATAAAAGGATTTCAACATCTCCTGAGCCTTGAGGCTGGAATAATTTGCTCAAATACATTGTAACACCTAAAAAGTGGCTAGTAACATTGCTATTGTGTAAGGACCTAGCTAGAGAAAATCAATACTTGAGCTTCTCACACTAATGTTCTTTTACACAGACAAATTCGGGGCTACAATGAGAATGATGACCAAAATATGAATAAGTTGCCCAGACATCATCACCAACAAGCTGTTTTGTTAGCTCTCCAGCTTGGAATTTATTACTTTTGCTGGATAATACATTCCCAAGCCATTTTGAAAATGACGCATTTTGAATTGATATTTTGTTTGCATCCAATGCATGGTGCTTTACTGCGACGGGTCAACTTTGAAGACGAATGACGCAAACTCTTTTGCGGCGGCGTAAAGGATAAGCCCAAATGAATGGCCATCATGAAGGGGAATCGCGCGTTCGAGCAGGCCCAGACAGAATAGAAAGACTACGGCTGCGTACGCACCTGCGTGATTTGAAACACATATTGCAGTCAAATTAGAACTCTTCCAAACTTGCTGTGATGTAACCGATCAGTTTACACACTTTACTAGCCGTTATCACTTAACCAGACACTGAAATCACAAATTTTACGGAGTGCACTAGAGAGCCCGAAAAATCCGAATCCTCCATTATTATCGATCGCCAAACTCAGTACATGGACAGCATAAACTTCACATCTACAAAACGCCATTTTGTACGAGTCTGCGCGGTGCGATTTTTCGCATGGAAAGGGAAATCACCCCTCAACCCGAGGGGGGACCGGAATAAAATCTTTTGTAAGTATTTTCTAGGGAATAGGGAATAGTTTTTCGCAAGCACTTACCGTTTTTCCGGGCTAATAAATTGTCTAAAATTATTTTTTATGGCCCAGAAGTTGGGCGTTCAGGAAAAATTCCAAGTTTATTTTCGAAAACATTGATCAATATGTCAAACAGTGGCGCCTCTTGTGAGTTTTGTGCGAACTAAATTTGACATAACAAAAGTAAACAAGTTCATTTTGTTGTTCAAATTACGTGTTTATTTATTTTTAAATTTATAAACTACGTGGTTTTTAAACTCACGATCGACAAAATTAAAGTGGCGTGAAATTTGTAAGTAATTTGTATTTCGTAAGTTCATAATTTATTCACAGATGACATAACCTAACATTTTTTCCTGTTTTTGAGTTTTTGATTCTTACTCATTGTTATTCACTAATATTTATGTGTCCTGTGAAAAAATCTAGTGCTTTGTATCAGAATTCAGTTGCCTACATAATCAGTTACATAATGTACTCTTAATCTATAACAAAACTCAATATTAAACCTATGAATTTCAAATCTCTTATCAGCTGGTCATAAAAAAAAATAGAAACTTAGTAATTTTTCATAATATGTTTTATGTGATAATTTAATTACTTGTTTTGCTCCATCCCCATATCTAGAGGCACAAAATATCCATACCAATTGGTAAATAAATACACAGAGTCGATGCAACATCCTCTTTAGAATACTTATTGAAAATCTTGTTTTTTAACATTTCAGATTAAGTAAAGTGTTAATTCGATATCTTTTTTTCCTTTCTTATGTTTATAGGATGGGATAAAAGTAAACCACAAAATAAAGTTTAATTTATATTGCATAATTTGTAATGTCCGAACATATTCTAAATGGCGTAGCACTTACAATCTAAATGACTAATTTATTCTTACATATATCAATATTTCAATTTACATTATGTGTAAAAATTAAATTTTATGAAAATCACATTAGCATTTATTAAGTAATTTTATCAATTCACTGTAGATTTTTTACCGAGGCCTCTTGTGTTCTATGGACTCTTCCGAGGAACCTGAAATTTGAAAATATTTTTATTGAAAACAATTTGAAAAGTATTCTTGAGGTTGAAATATCAGAACTATTCTATCTAGTTTTTCTAAATATTAGAACTTTGAAGGAATGTGGGAGTGAAAAACTAGGCTGCTGGAGCTATAGTAGTGCATGGCTACATCTTGTGGTATGATGGTGGTGTCGCTTATCAGCTCTCCACGTACCTACAGTGGTGGAACCGTGGCAGTACCGCCCCTCAACTGAATACAGTTAAGAGTCACGCACCTACGACGTGCCGAAGCGACGCTGGATTGCAGCACATAAGCTAGCCGGGTGTTCTATTCACGCACCAACAGTGCAATAAGTGTCGCCCATCAGCTAGGTACTCCTAGTCACGGATCTGATCCTAATAATCTCTCGCACACTCACTGCGGCCGCCCGTCGCACAGTCGCGACAGCAATATAATTACGTGCGAGCGATAAAAATGGGTGGCTTGAGGTCATTGGACGAAATTGTACGTGCTCAGCGACCGGACTTTAGAGTCACGCACCTACAGTGCCGACGGGGCGGTGGCAGTGGCGGCCGCGCCAGCCGGGCTCGCACACGCAGGCGCCGAAGGAGCAGACGCCGTGCTTGCAGGCGCGCGCGCAGTCCCCGGCGCGCCGGCCCACCTCGCAATGGTTGCCGCCCAGCCCGGCGGGGCAGCGGCACTTGTTCACGCCCTTGCAACGCCCGCCGTTTAGGCAGGGGATCACGCATTTTGCTGCAAGATAACAATTTTATCAGTTTACTTTGAAGGAACAACAATCAAAAGTGATTGTGCCTAAATAAGTTACTAGCTGCGTGAATTTCTATCAGCCACAGAAAGAGTCGCGCGCAAAACTCTCACATTTATTTCTGGGTCTTAAACTGTCTATTGAACTGTCTTAGCTTAGGCGCAGCCTAGACCACCGACTTTTAGTTGGCCAATAGTTGGGCCCGATTTTAATTTGTATGAAGAATTGGCCGAAACCAAAATAAATAAATGAAACCAAATCGGTGCAGTGTGCGCACTTTCATATACATCTCCATACTGATTAACAGCCCGATCCAACTATCGGCCAACTAAAAATCGGTGGTCTGCACCTAGGGTTAAAAGTGAAAGAGTAACGAACATTCATCCACCAGCATGCACCCATCCTCACAAAATTTCATAATCATATGAGTAGGTCTAGCACTTACAAAATTCGCATCTCAACCCGTAGTACCCTTTAGGGCACTCGCAGGTGTCCTTCTGAATGCACTTCCCGCCGTTCAGGCATTTCTGCGAGCATATCCCTGAAACAACAGTGATAACGTTAACATTCCGTCTTTGCAGTTGCGGAGCATGATGCGTCCGAGAGTGACGTTGCAGCACGTCAGGCTGGCCCACTCGGCTAGCTGGCAAAAGAATCCCCATGTAAGTATACAACTATTAGCAAAAAAATCTATTTATTTCGGAATAACCGTGATAGGACGTCGTATTTGAAAAAAAATGTCAAATAAGATTTTCATTCTTCTAAAGATGCGGTACTCTACGCCACACGAAAGATCGATAAGAAGAGATATGTTATTCTTATGTATATCCCAATAGCAAGAGTCGATTATAAACTATTATTTTACAATTTACTCATAATTTTAATAATAGTGACTGAGTTTCTTGCGCTGCTTCTTCTCAGCACTGGCCCATTTATTGTCCGGAAGCAGTGGTAGGGTTAATATTGGGACGTGTAAAAGTGCTTTTTAAAAGCCTATTTGCAAAAATAAATTAGTTTTATGAGTTTTTTCCTCTCTTTACAGCTAGATAAAATAATCCGCGTGGACCACGCGGGCGAGCTAGGCGCGGACCGTATCTACGCGGGACAGATGGCGGTCCTTGGGAACACGGCCGAGGGCCCGCTCATACAGCACATGTGGGACCAGGAGAAGAAGCACCGAGAGAAGTTCGAGGAGCTGATCAACAAACACCGGGTTCGGCCGACTGTGCTCACGCCTATATGGAATGTGGCTGGATTCGCTTTAGGAGCTGGTAAGTTAAAGATAAATAGAACTGATAGCCATTGGGGTAGAAAAATTCTCGAGTGGCGAACACGAACCGGATAGAACCGTGAAGGCTTCCCACTCGTTGGATCGACAATCTTGTGAAGTTCGCGATTCGTGAGAAGCACTTGGTTGCGGGTGTAGGATTGGTTGTTGGGGAAATCCTTGAGGAAGCCTTTGTCCACCAGTGGACAGCTTTAGATGGAAATGAACCAACGACAAGTCTTGGTTTTAATTACGCACCTCGCATCGACGAGATGCACGAATAAGGAACAAGCAGTCATGTAGCGCGATCTAGTAAAAACCTAAACAAAGTAGTTTGTGTTTGAAGATATAGACAACAAATTATAATGTGATAATTTTATGATGATGAACTTTCAAATATTTTACAATTCAATATTTATTCCCCCAGGTACCGCATTACTCGGCAAAGAGGCGGCGATGGCGTGTACCGTCGCCGTCGAGACCGTCATAGTCGACCATTACAACGACCAATTACGCACGCTCATGGAAGACCCGACCATAGACAAGGAGATCCTCGAAACCATCACCAAGTTCCGAGACGAAGAGCAGGAGCACCACGACACGGGCATCGACCATGGAGCGGAACAAGCGCCCTTCTACAAAGCGCTCACAGAAGTCATTAAAACAGGCTGCAAAGTCGCCATAGAGATATCCAAGAGAATTTAGCTAGGTAAAACAAAATATAGTCTATTATTAGAATAAACAAGTATTAGTTATGACTGCGTTTCATTTGTGCAAACAGTCTGGCAAATATTGACGATGATGTAAGGCTTTGCTCAAGTCAAACAGCATACCTACCAAGTAAAATGACTGACCGATTGAGATATTTATGAGCTGTCAAAACTAGATTCTTTCACACAATAGGGTAATATAAACTTATGACGTCACATGTTTGCTAACTCAATTGACTCGCTAATTAATTGATTTCAAAGCAAATAACTGACTATTTACAGCTTGCTGTTCTGAATTCTGAGAGCTGGCTAAAGGTTCTTTTGAAGTTAGCTGTCTTATAAGAGCGCTGTCACATTTAGGCGATTTAGCAGCGCGACAAACGCACGACGCGCTGCCGAAAATTTCATACATATAAATGCCGTTGCCGCGCTACTGACGCCCTAATGTAAAAGCGCTCTAAACGTAAAATGATGTCAGTCAGCTTTCCCATTATGTAGCCTCGCAGCTGTAGCGTGGAGCCCGAGCCTGGTCACTGACCTCCCTCGCAGTTGCGGCCCTGGTAGCCCGGCGGGCAGGAGCACACGCCGGGCGCGGTGCAGTTGCCGCCGTTCATGCACTGCGGGTAGCACAGCGCAGTACGGCAATGTTGCCCCATGTAGCCCTCGGGACACTGGCAGATCTTCTCGTGGTTGCACCACCCTTGGTTAGCACATTTTTTGTCGCACTCTGGATCCGGCCCTGGTTATTGGAAGGCGAAATTGAACATGGGAACTTGAACTTTCAAAATAATTTTATTGATCATGCACATTTAGAAAAAGTAGGATACTAATAAATTACTCATTTCACTGACCACAAGTTAACGTTCATTGAGGCAACATAATGAAAGTGAGTAGGTACAGTTAATCAATTAGGTATAGGAGATTTTTGTTTATTACCTCAACATGGCTTTTAATAAGTAGAGTTTAATTAAATCATACAAACAAATGACAAGCTAAACTTATTTAATGTTAAATTTAAAAAACTAGAAGCATGAGATGTAAGATGGTAATAATGTTTTAAAAAGCGCATACAGACACCGTTGCGCGTTGAATAAAAAGTTCAGAACTTAGCTTTTGAAGTTCAAAGCGAACCGATAATAACGCGGTTACACTTAGAACTCTTGAATTTTCGGTGTCCGTATGCGCCTTTATGTAGGGGCTGGAAGCAAGCCAGTTTTAATCCTGGCTCCAGCCTAGCAAGCGAGTGTACCAACCTAAAAACGCAAATGCTGTGAGCAGAGGCACCGTGAGTTCAGCCAATCAGCGTCTCGGCGATATCACCCGGAAAATAAGGCTTAGTGTTAATATACGGCCTGGGTGCTCGTGGCAGGCTGCCGGCATTAGTACGCTACCTACCACTAGTGGACGAATGCGTGTGCGCAGGGTAACAATCTAGTGATTGACAGCTTAGGTTCACAGGACAGAAGTCAGAACAGTAAAATCTACTAGTTTACTTAACACCCGTATTCACAAACGTACCTACTTGCTTAAGTGAAGCAGCAAATCTGTGATTGGTTCGTGTGTGACCCTGTGCGTCCACGCGCACTATGAGACCTCATAGTAATGTTTGTGAATACAGGCGTTGTACACGTAGAAGGCCAACCTTAGGTATTCTTAAACCATTCGATATTTGCGCAAACGCACACAAAAGGATGATTGTGCGAATTGGCATGCCGTATGATTCAAAAATACACCTCGTGAAATGCAAAAAACTGAAAGCTTTCTGATTTATGCCTCAAATTGTTTAGTCTACAACGTGAATAGCAAGTGCTAAAATTACTAGCGAAACTATGAACAATGCCGTAATTAAATGTCAATCACTGTATTGTTCTGCCTGAACACATAATGAAACAAACAATATTATGATGTATTATGGTATGGAATAGTGACCGTGACTGTACAGCACTTCGCTCTAACTACCCACAGATGTATTATTAGTAGCATAAGCATAAACATTTTGAGCTCGAAATAGATGAAATGCAAAGTTTTAGTACTTCTGGAAGTGTCTGTCTGGTATCTCACGAGGACGATTTCATTTATTTTAGAAAAATAGCATGACGATTACGTTAACAAGCTGTTAACCCTGAATAAGTTAGGTTTATGAACGCTATTATATTGTTTTTATAATAAATGAAAAAAGTAGACAAAAAGCATAATTAGCCTGTGGTTTTGTTCTGTATTTACGATTTTAAAGCAATTCTTTTATTATTTATTTTGCACTTTTTTGGAATAAGTGATTCTTGTTTATTAATAAGTACCAAATCAGTAAAAACAAACAAAAACACAGACGTTTTAGTGTTAAAAATGCGTTGGCGATACTATACCTGTCCTTTCAATATACACACCTCTCTGTGCGCATTCCTTCTTTAGGTTAAACCTTAGGGGCGTGCCTTTGAGCGGCACGCCTCGTCCGTTTTTAAGTACTAGCCCTATCTCAAATGTCGCTACCCCACTGCTGTTACCGACACAGGGTAAAAACAAACTGAATTCTGTGAACAATGTAATGGATTAGTGGTATTGCTAATTACAACGCGGTCAAGTTAACTGCGCACCTGGCAGCTGTGACGTCACATCGACGCACTGGTACGGACGGGGCAAACGCGGGGAGGTGTGCGGGTGAGTGCGAGGGAAAAGTCGCATTTCAGCGAAGTGCGCAGTTATAAGGTTGTAACAGTATATGACTCTGTTTTACTGACAGTGTAACATAGAACTAAAGAGCCTCATAAAGGGTGGAATTCCTTTTTACAAGATATACAGGGTGTTAGGTAAATGGGTATATGAGCCGACACTAGCCCATGTTAACATCCCAACTAATATTATAAATGCGAAAGTAACTCTGTCTGTCTGTCTGTCTGTCTGTCTGTCTGTCTGTCTGTTACGCTTTCCCGCTTAAACCTCGCAACCGATTTTGATGAAATTTGGCATAGAGATAGTTTGAGTCCCGGGAAAGAACATAGGATAGTTTTTATCCCGGTTTTTGAAACAGGGACGCGCGCGATAAAGTTTTTCTGTGACAGACAAAATTCCACGCGGGCGAAGCCGCGGGCGGAAAGCTAGTAGTCATATAAATGGTATGGTGAAGTCAGAAAATTGATATCTTCATTTTAATTATTTTAATTTCCATAGAAATCGAACTTTATAAAATGTATTTTGTATGAAAATTAAAAAAAATAAAATGATGATATCAATTTTCTGACTTCACCATACCATTTATATGACCAGGTTAACATAGGCTAGTGTCGGCTCATATACCCATTTACCTAACACCCTGTATAGAATAGCATATTAAAATGTTCCGAGTCCTAGATAAGTAAAAATGATGAATACCTTTATCCAACTTAGGCACCCGTCCTTGCGTTTTGATGGACAACACTGGCGGACTGAGCACTTTTTCGTCAGACGACGTCAAAGTATCGAAGTTATAGTAGTACTTCTTCCGCGATCGCCACGTGAAGTTAACGTACCCCACTTCAGACGGGATTATGGGCAGCTTGTGGGAGAAGTTCGGGTCCAATATGTACGGCGATATGTGGCCGTTCATAATCGCAAATACCCGCATTGACATCCCTGTAACATGAAAGGTAAATAGGTTAGTGGAGTAGCATGAGCAATGTAGATATTGGTTGTTTTGTACAAATAACATTTAGGTAGGTATACTCGTAAATATGTATCATTCATTGATTTGCAATGACATACATTTTCCGATTCTTACCTACAACCCTAGGAACTTAGGTAGAGTCGTAGAAGAGGCAGACGGTGTTGGAATCGGAGACATTAATACAAAATGTAGAGCTGAATTACCTGGAGTTTATCGTTAAGTCTGTGAGTAAGAGAGCTCTGGTTGAACTAGCGACATCTGGTGCGATGCAATGAGGATAGGATGGCAACGATTACATCTAGAACTTGTTACTCCGCGTCCTTGTGCTCAGTCAGCGACATCGCCAGCACCACTCCTACGCGCCCATTGATGCCGTTGCCCCATCCTGACCCAGCAGGAGTCTAAGTTGCTAGTGCTCACCGCTGAACATGCGTATCTGCACTCCTGCGTAGGTACAGCCGCGCGCCCATTGATGCCGCTCGCCCCATCCTGACCCAGCAGGAGTCTAAGTTGCTAGGGCTCACCGCTGAACATGCGTATCTGCACTCCTGCGTGGGTACAGCCGCGCGCCCATTGATGCCGATCGCTCCATCCTGACCCAGCAGGAGTCTTAACTTGCTAGGGCTCCCCGCTGAACATGCGTATCTGTACTCCTGCGCACAGCCGCGCGCCCATTGATGCCGCTGCCCCATCCTGACCCAGCAGGAGTCTAAGTTGCTAGGGCTCACCGCTGAACATGCGTATCTGCCGCTCGTCGATCCACAGCGAGATGTCCGTCTGGCGCGCCTCCGCGTCCTTGTACTCAGTCAGCGACATCGCCAGCACCACTCCTACGCGCCCATTGATGCCGCTGCCCCATCCTGACCCAGCAGGAGTCTAAGTTGCTAGGGCTCACCGCTGAACATGCGTATCTGCCGCTTGTCGATTGAGGATCGGATGGCAACGACTACATCTAAAACTTGCTAGAGCTCACCACTGAACATGCGTAGGTACCTACCTATCTGCCGCTCGTCGATTGAGGATCGGATGGCAACGACTACATCTAAAACTTGCTAGACTAGTGCTCACCGCTGAACATGCGTAGGTACCTATCTGCCGCTCGTCGATTGAGGATCGGATGGCAACGACTAGGTACATCTAGAACTTGTAGACTAGTGCTCACCGCTGAACATGCGTAGGCGTAGGTACCTATCTGCCGCTCGTCGATTGAGGATCGGATGGCAACGACTACATCTAGAACTTGCTAGAGTGCTCACCACTGAACATGCGTAGGTACCTATCTGCCGCTCGTCGATTGAGGATCAGATGGCACGCCCATTGATGCCACTCACCCCATCCTGACCCAGCAGGAGTCTTAGTTGCTAGAGCTCACCGCTGAACATGCGTATCTGCCGCTCGTCGATCCACA